TTATATTTATATTTATATTTATATTTATATTTATTTATATTTATATTTATATTTATATTTATATTTATATTTATATTTATATTTATATTTATATTTATATTTATATTTATATTTATATTTATATTTATATTTATATTTATTTCCATCCCGCTTTAAATTAAATATGTTAATTATACTTCCTCATACACGAAAATATTATAAAATGCACTCGACCATTCTGTCAGATCCTTTGATTGCAAGATCTCTTCCTCAAGGGAAGGTGTTCTTAAAATAGGAACAACTGGGTAAGGCTTTATGAGTGGAATGGCTGACTATGAAAGCAATGAATAGGACAAAGTTGAACTTGTATTGTCGAAGGGTTTCATGGCCGGAATCACTGGTTTGTTGTGAATTTTCCAGGCTGTATGGCCATGTTCCAGAAGCATTCTCTCCTGACATTTCACCCACCTCTATGGAAGGTATCCTTAGAGGTTGAGGGGTCTGCCTACTTTCTAACAGACCTCACAACCTCTGAAGATGCCTGCCATAGATGTAGGTGAAAGGTCTGGAGAGAATGCTTTTGGTACATGGCCATACAGCCCAGAAAACTCACAACAAACCAAAATTGAAGTTGTTTGTCCCATTGATTTCAAGCTCAGAGCATCGCCTTATCAGTCCAACCTCCAAATATTGCACAGAATTGCCGTCCAAATATGTCGCTTTCACGTTTCCTTCAATCAGTTGCATTTAAATACATTGTGGAACAGGCCCTTCTTCGACTTCGAGGGCCTACATCCAAGTGATAATCCCAACTAGAGTAGACCTGTCGAATCAATGAGTCCAGTATCCGTCACCCATTGCTTTAATGTGTCTTCAGTAGCTGGGACTAGGAGTTAAAATCAAAGAGGACACACAGAGCAAAATTACTAAGGGCACAACAAGGCAAGCACATTTGTGTCTCACTGGAAACACAAAACAGAGGAGATGCAAGTATAGTTGTGAGCTGGAATTTCAATAAATTCTTTTACATTTTGTATTTCACTGACCATAGGATTGATCCTCCCCCACCCCCCTTTCACTTTATACCTTTACAGGGAATATAGGCTTCACTACCCACAGGAAGAATAGGTATGCAAAGGAATTGCCCCTTCCATGATAATTCTACCTTTGGAAATACATTTTTTTCTTCAGTCTCCACATTTCCAGCATTGCAGGAAGTTAACACTTCAGTTGGGCATTGAAAAAAATACAGTTGAGACATCCAAAGAAAAGAGCCAGGCCAAGTTTCCAAGGGGAAAGGAACACAGCAAATAAAAGTGTTGTAGGTTTGTGGGTTTGTGGAAGAGTGACAACGTCCTCAATCTCTGGAATGCTAGAAATGTGGAGACTGAAGGAAAATTCATAAGGCGAGAAGACAGGGTGCTTATCAATAGGGACAATAGCTTCAATTTGCCTTCCATACCTACACCCCTGTATGTAGGTACTTGGGACTAAGGCCCCTTCCACACAGCTGAATAAAATCCCACATTATCTGCTTTGAACTGGGATATTTGGCCGTGTGGACTCAGATAACCCAGTTCCAAGCAGATATTGTTGGATTTTCTGCCTTGATATTCTGGGTTATATGGCTGTGTGGAAAGGCTCTAAGGTCCCTTATACACTGGCATATAATCCAGATTATCAAATAAAATAATATACTTTGAACTGGATTATATGAGTATACAAAGCCATATAATCCAGTTCAATGAAGATACTCTGAATTTTATATGGCAGTGTAGAAAGTGGCCCAAACTCCCTCAAGCTTGTGGGGGTGTAGGTCAGAGTAAGCGGGAAGAGC